CATGGAAGTGGTACCATGTGGGGGAGCGACGTTTCTGGCGCTTCTGTTTGGCGTGTCACCAGGCCGCCTGGCCTGAGGCCCGCGAGAGTTGTTGTGCATGCTGCCCTTCAAGGCGCAGGCCTTTTGCAGACTGCCTTTTGCACTGCGAGACAGGATGGACGGTGTGCAAATCGGCACTGCAAGCCGCGTGGCGACCGGTGCGTCTTCCCGCTGCTACAGCGTCGGCTACAAGTGGGAACTTTTTACTTGACGCAAGCACCACCCAAGCTAGCCGCTCGTCTTCCAATTATCTGCTGACTCCGCGGACAAAGCATCCTCAGATGTGCTTAAGATTACTTAAGCGTTCTTTCGCCCGACCTGTCTCCAAGCCCCTCCCCCACACACTACACGTTTGCCCAGGCCCGCGATGAGCCGTCCAGGCCGCCTCTGAAGTGGGATTCGCAGGCCATTGTAGACCCTAAACGTACCCCGGTGAAGCCCTTCACTGTCGTGTGGTCCTACCCAGGCCAGCGATGAGCCGTCCAAGCCGCCTTTGAAACGGGACTCGCCGGAGGCGTCTCTAAACCTAGACCTTTGCAACCCTTCACTGTCGCGAGCAACACTCGACTAGTGCATCCCAAGCTCGTGCTACCCCTGTTAAACGCCCTTCGCAGGCAGTGGCGCCGTCTTCCTCCAAGAGGTCTCGACCGCGCTTGCGCGATGCGGCGCCCTGGTTGCTTTAAGTTTTCGCAAGCTATACCTCTGCAGCGTTGACTGAGGTATCCTCCAGCTCGTGCATCGCCGCTCCGTTCCCCATGCAGACACGTGTCTTGGGCAGAACCCCTGGTCATGTGCGAGGCACCGCCGCTAGCGTATGACCGGCGATGGGACGGTCCTGCCTTCCCCTTCCGGAGGGCCGGGCCGGCGCGGTGTAGCCTCTGTGGAAAAGTTGTGGCGGGTGTGCGGAGCTATGGAGTTCCGGACGCCGTTGCTCCATATGTGCAGACGCACACGGCCGAACTGTGTCCCGCATGCTGCCACCGACTCGAAAACGAGGACATGGGGCACATGCACCTAGAACTCGACACGCTCATAACCTTGAGCGAAGCCGCTGCGAGCCAGCGACAAAAAACAAGTGCTTGCAGACACTGCCAGAGACTTTCGGGGCAAGGGTTGGAGGTTGTGGGCAAGAAACCGACGAGGGGAAGTGGTTGCATATCCGAGTATAGCCTTCTTGACGAGTTTTAGGCACAGCGCCCGCCAGCCGTCCTTGCCCCGCCCTCGAGCCGTAACCCGAAACCCGTTAGTCTGATGCAGGAAGAAACAAGGTAACAACGAACAAACATGCAGAAACAAGCCCACAATAAATCCTCATTCCGCTCCCTTCACCCGCAGCAAAATTAAGAGAAACACGCCATGCACCTGCGTCGACAGGAAAAGCAAAACAACAACAAAAATGCACCCACGCGCCCGCGCCCAAAAATAGTTTCACGTAACCCCAGCCGCGCGCCCGCAGCAAAAAACAACAGGCACCCCGCAGTCGCACAAAAAGAAGCGCCCGCGCGCGCCGCACTCAGCCAATGCAACCCCGCACCTGCAGAAAACAAGACAAAAAAACACCCCTGCCCCTGCAGCAGAAAAACAAATCGTTGGCACCAGCCGCGCACCCGCAGCAAAAAAACGCGCAGCCCGCACCCGAAGAAAACACGAAAATAGAACCGCACCCGCACCCGATGCACTGAAAAAATGCACCCTCGCATCCGCACCACGTAAGAACGCGCCGCACACGCGGAACCCGTGCGCAACGACGTTGGAGCTGGCAACACCCATCTTAAGTGGGCTTGCAGGTTGTGCAAGAACCCAAGCAGCTTTAAAAGAGTGGTGGGACATGCCACTGTCTCTAGCCTTCTGGACGATTTCTAGGCACCGCGCCCTCCAGCCATCCATGCCCTGCAATGTTTTTTCGGCAACACCCCTCTTGGAGCGGGCTTGCAGGTACTGCTGGAAGCTTCGGGGATATTCCAAAGCGTTGGAAGGTCTTGGAGGCTAGGGTTGGGCTGGCAACAGCCCTCGTGGAGGGTCTGCGAGGCTCTGTTGCGACTGGCAAAACCTCTTTTAAAGGGTCTCGGAAATTATGTTGGGCTGGCCACGCTCTTGGAAAGTGTTGGAGGCTATGTCGGAGCTGACGAGGCCCTTTTTGGAACGGGGAAAGGTTTGGAGGTTGTCCAACAGACCAACGGTGGGAAAGTTGTTGGACATCCGCGTCTAGCCTCCTTGATGATTTCTAGACACCGCGCCCCCCTCCAGCCATCCATCCCTCAGCCGCCAACAGTGTAGCTAAAGACCTCCGAGCCCTGTGCAGAAGTCGTGCCTCGAGAGAAGGCTCGGGCCAAAGGGTCACGGTTTCGAGGGCTTCAAACCCCAAGATTTGAACCCTAAACAAATCCTAGAAGACTTTCCAGGCCTTAGAGTCTTGGCGGCTATGTTACTGAGGGGCCGTTTAAGTCGTCCCGCCCCGTGTGATGTCATCCCTTTGCGCGTGCGCATTGGGGGGAAGCCATTCTGAACTAGTCCCGGTAAATAGGCATGGACAGGCTTCAGCGCATTTCATGTTGTATCTGTGCGCGTGCACAAGGGGTTTAAGCATTTCGGAGCCTGAAGTGGCATGCATCCGAACAACAACTGTTCGACTGCCCACACAGGGATCAGACGCATAGGGGTTTAAGCATTTCGGAGTCTGAAGTGGCATGCATCCAAACAACAACTGTTCGACTGCCCACACAGGGATTTTAAGCATTTCGGAGATTGACGTGGCATGCATCCCAACATCAACTGCTCGAGTACCCACACAGGGGTTAAGCATTTCGGAGCCGGACATGACATGCATTAAAAAAGCCTGCACGTGGGCACTGGAAACCATAAGTAGGAGTGTTTGCCGAATAGGTGCCGGGAAGCGCGTGGACATCGGGGAAAAGCGATATGCAGCTCTGCTTGTGGTGTGACGTCACACGCCGTCACGCGTTCCCGCGTATCAAGGCTGTCCCGACTTCACGTGCCAAGGGGCGACTTAAAGCCCCAGCCCCAACCCCAGCCCCAGCCTCAGCCCAGCCCCAGCCCCAGCCCCAGCCCCAGCCCCAGCCCCAGCCCCAGCCCCAGCCCCAGCCCCAGCCCCAGCCCCAGCCCCAGCCCCAGCCCCAGCCCCACAGCCCAGCCAGCCCCGTCAGGTCAATGTAGCAAGCAAGAGGCACAAGGTCAGAATGCAGCCCTACACCCCAACGAGGTCAAGACGGAACCCAAACAAGGTCAAAAAAAGACCCTGCCCGTCAGTGCCGGAGTCCAAAAGCCATCTGTGAAACATTTGTGGGCTTGGCTTAGCTCTGATGACCAATCTCAGGTGTGGATATGTTCACGAGAGACCCGCTTGTCCAGGCTGACGTTCTTTACAGTTTCACGGCTGCAGCGGTTTTTGAAGGTGCGTTCAATCTGTTCCCCGGGCGATCGAGAAAGACTCTGCTCTTTCCAGTGCGGTTTCGATGTATTTAATGTATTTTCTCTGCCGTGGGCCGAGGCACCCCCAGTGTAGCCCTGTGCTCCGGGCTGATTGCCTCTCGTTCGCCAAATTGCGGGGCTCCTTCGGGGATTCATGGCTGCTCTGTGCACTTGTGCATGCCGGGCTTCAAGTGGGGTTCGCGTCGGCTTGGCGCGGTTCCTGCTTCTCGCTGCTGTGGTGGGTTTGCCAGGTGTTGAGGAACTGGTATCTAGCATTTCACGGGTAGGTGGTGGAGAAAGCCCCGCGGATGTTCTCGCCGTGTTCTCTAATTACAGTACCTGGCTTGTAGTCAACTTTCTGGGCAGCTCTCTCAAGCAAGCTGGTTTTCCTCTCGTGGTTTTGTCGTTACGTGCTCCCGGCTGTTGTCCCTCGATACATTCCAGTAGTTGCCAGCTGTTTAGAGCATGGCCTTGCGACTGTGAGGGTTTGGGCTTCTGATTGCGTCCAGTTCGTTAGGTGTGTGCACGGTTCTGAGATAGCGTTCCCTTGAATGCGAACACACCGGCCAGCACTCGAAGCTCCAAACCCTGAAGCCCGAACAGGTTCTCTCGCAAACCCTGATGAGCTACCTGATCAGTCTCGGCAAGGTCCCCGTGACAGCAGAGCAAGCAACTTCTGGTTTTTTGGATTGAAGGCTTTCGGTTCAGGGCCCTAAACCCCTGAACCCTGGTAAACGCTTGTTGTTCTTGCCACGGACGTAAGTCAGGAAGGGATTCGGGAGTCTGGAATCTGGAGGAAACCCTGAACCCCGAAAATGAGCTCTGAACCTTGAATGAAGTTGAACGGTAGTGACACGACAACAACCATTAAATCAACTAAAGGACAAGCCTACTGAAGCGGAGGTGCATTTCATTCCGATCACGGGTGGAATGCTGGTGGTGCTCTTCACAGCCAGCAGCTACGTGCTGTACCTGAACGGTGCCATGACGCGATTTCAGCTTTGAGCGTTGTTTGCATGCAGGCCAGTGGGGCGTAATTACAACCGCAAAAAAAATACACTCAACAGCCTCGAAGCTTGGTACCCTTCTCCCATAACCACAAGCCCGAAGAGAGATGTGCCTTGTGGTGGTGGGGCCACAGCCCATGGTACTCGGAATTCCCGGGTAGAGCACGGTTTTGGTTCGCAGGGCCGAAGGCCGAGGAAGGGCCCCGAGCCCTCCACTTTGCTTCCGCTTGCAGTTTGGGCTTAGAGTTTAGGGTTTACTGGGCTTAGGGTTCAGGGTTACTCCTAGCATCGAATGCAATTGTAGCGGGTTCCCATGACCCATTGCCTTGGAATCGATAAGGTGTGCTCAGCTTGCAGCGTGACTTGGCAGACTATGCTTCGGCTTCGGCTTGGCTGGGCTTCTTGCAAACATGTTCTTTGATTGTCACTGTCGCCTTTATCTTCATCCATCATCACGACCGTTGTAATGTCCATCGTCATCATCATCATCAGCGTCATCAGCATCCTCAAACCATTGGCAACTGAGCTTGACGCCAATGCCGCAACAACGCCAAGGCATGTGGGCTCTCAAAGCCGCTCTGCTCTGCTTCGCTGTGCAGGGGGCTTGGCTTTGGCGTAGCAACTCGCAAAACACAACTATGCCAGGCAGACCAAGCATTGTAGGACTTCAGCACATCCGTAACTTCTCATGCTTATACCCGTGCTTGTAAAGCCAGGGCAATAGCAAGAACGGGCGACACGACAAACACAAACAGCTGCAGCTGCTGCTGATGCTTCTGCTGCTTTGCCGGCGACGACGACGACGACGCCTGCTGCTACGATAATATTACCCGCCACCACCACGACCACGAAGTCGACCTCAACGACGACCACAATTGCTACTCCAACTCCAACTCCCACCACTACTACTACTACTACTACTACTACTACATTGCCGGGAGTTTTAGAACAATTATTTTGTTGCGAAAGCAAGATTGCCAGCAATCTTGCTACTCTTGGTCATCTCTACTGCTACTGCTACTGCTGCTGCCCCTGCTGCCCCTGCTGCTGCTGCTGCTGCTGCTGCTGCTGCTACTGCTACTACCATTACTACCACTCCTGCTGCTGCTGCTGCTGCTGTTGCTGCTGCTGGTGCTGCTGCTACTGCTGCTGCTACTGCTACTGCTACTGCTGCTGCTGCTGCTACTACTACTACTACTACTGCCACTCCTACTCCTACCCCTATTCCTGCTCCTCCTCCTAACTGCTACTGCTACTGTCACTTCTACTTGTAGTGCTAGTGCTACTGCTACTGCTATCGCTAGTGCTACTGCTACTGGTACTGCTACTGCTCCTGCTGCTGGTGCTGATGACTGCGGCTGCGGCTGCTGCTACTGCTACTGCTACTGCTACTGCTACTGCTGCTGCTGCTGCTGCTGCTGCTGCTGCTGCTGCTGCTGCTACTGCTACTACTACTACTACTACTACCACCACTACTGCTCCTCCTCCTCCTCCTCCTGCTGCTGCTGCTGCTGCTGCTGCAGCAATTTCACAACGACAACTACAGCAACAGCAGCAACAGCAACAACAACAACAACTACTACTACTACTACTACTACGACTACCACCACCTACTACTACTACTACTACTACTACTACTACTACTACTAGTTGTACAAGTGTGAGGATTGCTATTACGGCTGCTGCTGCCACTGATTACGTGCAAAACTACAATTACAACAAGAAGCAATTGCATCCGGATCCTTGTTGACCACTTTCTCCTTGTTGTAGATAGTCTTTCGTTGGCGTCCATTGTACCGTCATGGCAGTCTTGGCAACTAGTGGCGCGGGATGGTGCTGTCACCCTTCTTGGGAGAGTCATGTCCCTCCGATGCTCTACTAAGGTTGTGGCAGTGTTGTGTGGTTCTCTACACATGCCGCCGAAGACACTAAGCGTGGAAGAGCAAAAGAATCGCTGCACCTAGCAGACGTTTGCCTGGGTTAGATTGCAGCTTGAAGTGACTACGACTACGAGCGAACATTGAGACACGGTATATTGTTGACTCCTAGGTGATCTGATTCATCCCATCCCAAGCCACAGTAAACCCCGGCATTCTCAACCCTTCTCCACAATAGGAGTTATCCTGTTATCTGTGCTTCAAGACTCTCGAAGGAAGTGCATTCTTTGCATGCGTAACAATACGAACGTTGAATGGAGCCGATGACGTACAGCAGAAGCTAGAAGGCCCGAGTATAAGTTTCATACCCTCAGGAAGTTACTGTAGGACTTAGGGCTTCGAGTTTGGCGCAATGCAACACCTCAAGTCCCGCAGATCCTAAGCCTCGAAGACGCCAGGGGGGCCAAGTCAGTCGGCGATTGGCTCTGTCCGAACTCTGCGTTCCAAGCTGAGGGTTTTCAAGTTCAGATGTGTGGAGTTGGGGGGAGGTGTTCCGTAACTAAGCATGCTCTCTCCTTGATCAGGAAGGGCTGAGGTATTGGGGCCCTTCTGTGGCTGGTGCAGTCTGTTTTTGTTGCTGCTTGACATATTTGCTGAAAGTGCAGGAGTCTTCCTTGCATCCTCATTGGCTGTAGCGCCCAGAGCCCATGTTTCCGAACTCTGAGACTCTAAGCGCGTGCGTACCCCAAACTTCCCAAGCCCTGCGCCAGTAGCCCAAAACTCCTCAACCCTAAACGAAAGACCGGGTCCTATGGGCCCAAACCCTAGACCAAGCTAAAGACTCAGCGAACCCACATCCCTAAGCCTTCTACCCCGGAAGCCCGGCTGTCTGCAGTGTTACAGGTACTTTAGGCTTGGGGGTTCTGCGTTTTCCTCCAGTGATCGAGGTGCGTCAACGCGAAGAACTGTGTCTTCGCGAGTAAGAGCAGCTGCCCCAAGTGCGGAGCGCCGGAGCCTCGGGTTCTGAACCCTAATCCCGCGATCCTACCTGCTCTAAGTCAGGATCTCCTTGGCTTAACGGCTTCACGCCAGCGGCATATGCCCTTCGGTTAATCCCGGTCCAGGCATGTTGCAGTCTGGTCCGGTTCATGCAGGGCAGAAACCGCACGGCAGAGATCGCTAGCAGGCAACTCATGACTTGGAAACAGGGTGGCCTGATAGTACTTCTGCTGGCAACGCCTCCAGCACGTGCCCGATGCATGCAGATCTGATGTTGGTGCATAGTTTGGGGCTGTGACAGAGGGCGCCGTTTCTCTCTTGTGGCAGGGTGGTTGCAGTGTGTTTGACACTGAAGCTGCGGACAACTTGGGGACGCATTGAACTTCGTTGGACGTGCTTCCATAGCTCTATCACTTCATAAAATGACCTCGGGTAGGATATATGTATATATATATATATAGATCGGAATCTGCTTTGTGGACTGGGGGCCCTGTTGATGAGAATCATGATTCCTTGTTCCTCGATGCCGTTCGGAAGGCTGCGTGGCCACGGTGAACCTGTGGACAAAGATCTCCTTGGCTTAACGGCTTCACGCCAGCGGCATCTGCCCTTCGGTTAATCCCGGTCCAGGCATGTTGCAGTCTGGTCCGGTTCATGCAGGGCAGAAACCGCACGGCAGAGATCGCTAGCAGGCAACTCATGACTTGGAAACAGGGTGGCCTGATAGTACTTCTGCTGGCAACGCCTCCAGCACGTGCCCGATGCATGCAGATCTGATGTTGGTGCATAGTTTGGGGCTGTGACAGAGGGCGCCGTTTCTCTCTTGTGGCAGGGTGGTTGCAGTGTGTTTGACACTGAAGCTGCGGACAACTTGGGGACGCATTGAACTTCGTTGGCCGTGCTTCAGCAGCTCTATCACTTCATAAAATGACCTCGGGTAGGGAATACAGATCTGAAGACGAGAATCATGATTCGTTGTTCCTCGATGCCGTTCGGAAGGCTGCGTGGCCACGGTGAACCTGTGGACAAAGATCTCCTTGGCTTAACGGCTTCACGCCAGCGGCATATGCCCTTCGGTTAATCCCGGTCCAGGCATGTTGCAGTCTGGTCCGGTTCATGCAGGGCAGAAACCGCACGGCAGAGATCGCTAGCAGGCAACTCACGACTTGGAAACAGGGTGGCCTGATAGTACTTCTGCTGGCAACGCCTTCAACACGTGCCCGATGATCCGATGCAGTTGAGCCGAATCTAAAATGTTGATGGTGGTCATGGCGGCTCGTTCCATTGCGATTGCCATGCCCAGTTGTTGGACCCCTGCAAAGGTTTGTTCATGGCTTCCGCCTTGTGGGAAGACTGTCGTTTGTGTTTGATAGATAACATTCCATTGCGTCAGTGGCTGCCACAGCTGACTCCGTCGTCCGTAGAAGAGAAGCAGCATGCAGCATGTCTGGCTTTGACCGCCCATTTTCTGGACCACGATGCTCGGGCGGAGAAAGCACAGCTTAATCAAGTTTGCCTTGTTTAATGCTTGAAGCATGCAAAGTGCCGAGCAGTTCATTCATGTTGGTAGTCGGCCGTCGGGTAACAGGAAGGTCTTGCTTGTGCGGCTCGACCTTCCCGACCTGTCTCATTACGTGTCTGTGTTGATCTGCTCCAAGCATGCCAACTCTGCAGCCAGTCGTAAGGTCCTGGTCTATCACGGTAGTTTTCTTTCCTTAACGTCAGCTGTAGCAGGTGCCACAAAAAGTGTGTTTCTGGGCTCTAGCCTCGCTCGTGGTTGTCTGTTGAGCTTCCCGATGATGGACGAAGTCTTCGTTTTTCCTGGCTTGCAAGAAGCCAGATGCGAAGTCTGGAGTATGGGGCTCGTCTCCTCTGCGGAGACGAAGTATAAGTCAGGAGGTCAGGTCTCGGTCTGATTTCGACTTTCGCCACCTGCCTCAAGTCCTCTGGATTGTTCCGGATCTTCGCGGACCTGTTTCAGTTTCCTGGAGCAGTTCATCTAAGATTTCATGCTCGGATGTCGCTGAAGCCTTGAGGACGATACACCTCCGCGTAATTGTACCCCATCATGCGCTGCCCGAGGTAGGCAAAAGCGCAGTCGGTAGCATTGGCTTTGCGGTTGGTCCTTTATGTAGTGGGGTGAAGGGAGAGTAGCCTTGGCATCTGTCATGTGTCCGGTGTCCTATGCTGACGTCAGAAGCTGAGGCAGAAGCCATCGTACGTGTGGGAGCCGAGCATTGCCAGGGTTTGGGTCTGGGGTCAGCGTGTTTCAAGGGCGTGCGATTTGCAAGTGAAACAACAAGGCCCACTCCGATTCCGAAATATGACACTTCAGCCAAATTCTGGAGGTTTGAAGCCCTATTCTACTGAACCGCCTTAGTAGAGGCTAGAGACAAGTGTCTATCACTCCAGCCAGATTCCCACAGGCTTACACCAGAATGTTTAGAAGCCTGAAACATCACAGCCTTTCCGAAGTACGGTCCAGGGATAGGGGAGAGCCCGGAGCCCTGTTTGAGGTGCAGAGCGCTGGCACCGGTGGCGGTGGCACCCGTGGCGCCTGGACAGGTGGCGGCTACGGCGGCATGGGTTCGGCGCCCGGCATTGGGTCACCGCAGAACGACGACGACGACTTCTGCTGCTGCTACTGCT